ATAGATCGTGTCTTATGAGGATATGGTAAACAAATCGTGGATTCTATTCGTGTCCGGATCTGTGATGTGGTCTGTGATGCCAGCTCATAGGACCTCGTGCCCTACGATTAACCCCTGCACAGAAGAACGGGACGGCACTCGCGACGCTCACAATGACATTGGTTTCAGGAAATGTGCATTTACAATTTTTACAAACTGTGTATTACTGCACAGGCTAGCACGGGTGCACGTGCAGGTTAGAGACCACGGGTTCAAATGCCGGTCTAGACAGCTGTTAAAATACAAACACTGCGAGGCTTCCCTCATCCATCCCTGCCTCTGTCCTCTCAGCTGCAATCGAGCTCATCGCATTGCGTTTACTGGCAGATCGCTTACAGCGGTGGGGCAAAAGGTGGGAATCCCACCGTATTGTCACCTGTCTTGATAAAAAAAAAAATAACGATGTCCCGTGCATTGCCAATCCACTGCTCGCTGCAGGCCTCCCCATGCCGTTGTCGGTCACGGAGGGTCGTTTGTCCATACTTCACCACGCTGATCAGTGCGTGCTGGGGGAAGGAGGGGCCGTGGCCCGGGAATTAAACTCAGGTCGCCGAACCACATAGCAAGTAGCACGGTTCGCTAGCCAATGGGCCGCAGCTCTCACCACCCACATGTGGTCTAGCGTAGGGGAAGCCAAACCTCATTTGACACAGAAGCCTTTGCCTACAGTGCAGAGTTCTGCACATTACCTTCTCTCCAGGATAGCGAGTGGCACGGCCTGTAGCCCTGTGACCCTGTAAGCCTATGGCCCTATAACCCTGTGGCTTAATAATAATAATATAACCCTGTGACCCTGTGACCCGGTGCCCTGCAGCCGGTGTGGGTAGATCACACACACACACACAGGGCATGCCGTTACGTGAGACGCCAAAACTTTTCCCCGAGGAAACAGCACAGCAAGTGGGTACATCGGCTGTCGTTAAAGCACACGAGTGGACGAGAAATCTGAGATGTGCACCAATAGGTACTGGCCGCCATGATGAGGTATGGTCAAACAAAACCGTGCGGAGGCTCTCACCCAGTGGTGGACTGACAACCCACGGCTGTCCACGTTGCGTAGCCGGAGCGGGGACCGGGCGCGCATCACGAGCGGCCACGCGCGCACAGACCGCCAGGCAGAGTGCGGTTGCGTCTCCCTGCCCTCTGGGGGGGTTTGCTGGGGCGCGATTCTCCCGTGCAATGTCTCAAACAGCACAAAAGCAGGACCTTCCCGTGAAAATATATTTATTTTTATAACTTCGAGATTTTCCCGAGCAACTCCTGCACTCTGCTTGCATCGAGCACGTCAATGTCCGCAAGGCGTCAACATTCTTCGACGCTCAGCTTGGCGGAGGCCCGCCGGGCTTTTTGCCGCCTCCACGGGCGACGCTCGCCAATGACCCGCGCGCGCGCTGCGTCCAGAGCCGCGTCGACGCGTCCGGTCGGAGCTGACGACGGATCCACGGTGGCCGCCACCGGCACCTCTGCCCCCCCTCCTCCTCCTCCCCGTTCCTCGCGGTGCGTCGCCACCGCACCACACCGCCAGTCGGCCGGCAAGCCCCGCGGCACGCCGAGTGCGTAACCGCCGTCGGGAGGAATTGACGCGCCGTGACGTTGCGTTCGTTCCAGGTGCGCGAACGGAGTAGCAAAATAAATAATTAAAGAGCGGCACACGTCCTTACCCATGTCTGCCCTCAACTTTAAACAAATATATTATTTTTTATACATCCCACTGAATTATTTTTTTTTTCCCCCCACAGCAGCGTTGGTTCAATGAAAGAAAACTCTGAGCCGGTGTCAACATTCAGTGTCTCATCAGCAGTCAGGCCTACATAAGCTAATGCCGGCAAACTGCCAGATATGGGGTCCAAGTTTGACGCAAAACCGTGAAACGCTTAAAATAAAATAATCATTAGTGTCGTTGTGGAGACTGTGACCAGCAATTAGAAAAGGCAGACAATACGCCTCCTTCCGGAATGTGTCCGTACACATATACAATAAAATATATATTTTGTTTGCACGTCCCATCACATGTAGGTAGTTTAATTTACAGCTTAACACGTAGGCTTTCGTGACCAATATCATCCATAATAGAGGTTTTTTGGGTTAGATCACGTAAATATATAAATGTGTCGTTAAAACCCGCCACCACCCGACACAGCCAATTAGTAAGGTTTGTCACGTAAACAAAACGTGCCAGTTCGTTACTAGTACAGCACACCGGTGTGTTGGAGAGCTAAGACAAATCTGGCTGTCGCCTGATGAAGCTAGTCGTAATTACTGGCGAAACGTCGTACTAGTAACGAATTGGCATGTTCTGTTTACGTGACAACCCTTACTAATTGGCTGTGTTGGGTGGTGGCGGGTTTAACGACACATTTATATATTTACGCGATCTAACACAAAAAAAAACCTCTATTATAGCTTACAGCTCTTTGTCCATCCACCGCTGGATGAAGGCCTGCCCACATGGTGTCCTTCATGGGGTTTGTGGTGGTGGTGTGGTGGTCAAGGGGAGCCCCAGGGCTGGTTCAGGTGTCACTTGCCACTGCTCTTAACTGTGGCAGGGAATGCAACCCGGGGTTGCTGGGTTGACTGTATAATGCATTACACACTGCGCCACCGCTCCCCATATATATACGGTTTAAAATGTATAATCATAATAAGCGTTAGTGAATATCGTCACTCGTGCAAACTGCATCTCACAACGCTGCATAATTCATGACACGCGAAAGGTACAAACACATCCCACGCAGATCGAGCGGACGGAGATTATTCCACACTTTGCCCTACCGCCTTCTCCTGGCCAGCCAGAGAACGGCTCCCTCTTGGACGCCCACGGGAAGGGAGTTTCACCGTCTGGTGTGGTGATCCACCGACCCTCGCTGCTGCTGCTGCCGCTGCCTCCGCGGCGCTGGATTACAGACAGCCACGTGCAGTAGCCTATAGCCACCGCCGTGTGAACGTTGCTTTTCTGCAGAAGTGCAAACCGCACGTGACGCGCTCGCGCGTGCGCACCGTGAATGGCTGCGGTGTGGATCACATTGACTGAAGAGATGTCCACTCCAGACTGCTGGGCGATTGGAAAGCCAAAGCTTGGGCTGAAGTCTTTCTCAGAGATTGGCGTCATGCACACGGAACAAACGAGGGATTTAACACGTAGGCTTTCGCGACCAATATTATTCATAATAAAGGTTTTTTGGGTTAGATCGCGTTATTTATAAATGTGTCGTAACCCTCCACCACCCGACACGGCCAATCAGCAAAAAAGTGTCACGTTGACAAAAGACAAAGAGTGAATCCACAACATTTACAGTTTGAGTACGACGTTTCGCTGGTAATTACATCCAGCATCATCGGGCAATTCGCCAGTAGTGAATTATTTGTCTTTTGTCAACGTGACACTTTTTTGCTGATTGGCCGTGTCAGGTGGTGGAGGGTTACGACACATTTATAAATAACGCGATCTAACCCAAAAACCTTTATTATGAACAAACGAGGGATGACAAACTTGCTGTGCTGTTGTTTTCGATGAAATATATAAGGGCATCGAACATAGTGCACACACACTGAGAGACAGCAAGCACAATGCGCGAGTAGGAGAAATACTCGGAATAGTGCGTGTGATGGATTCCATTCAATGACTGACAGTGATGATAATAATGCCAATGATGGAATTGAGTTGCGTATCATAATGTGGAGGAAGGGGCAGTGGCACAGTGGTAAGCGCATTTCGCTGCGTACCGGTGAAACGAGTTTCATATGCGGCTATCATCAGTGGCGAGCGGTTACTGAATTGGCCCAAGGCCTCCCCTCTCCCTTCACCGATTGGCACGAACCAATACGGCAAAGTGTGGTCAGACAAACCCCCGCGCCTCGCGCAGCAAGGCGAGGCCTTCATGCATAAGTGTAATTTTAACGCTACATAGATGAGCGCTTCACTTGCCACACGAGACCTTACAAGCTCTCCGCGGCGCTCCAATATAAATTAGCAGCTTGTGTACCCGTCCAAGGATATTGCAGTAAATCTGAAAAATTTATTATAAAAATTGTTCAGCTCATGATTATTAATGAGGGTGGGGGGTTGCCTCCATGTGGAGTGACGTCACCCGCTAATGGTTATTGGGGAGCGGTGCGGCATCTGGAGTGACGTCACCCCCTCCAGGTTATTGGGGAGGGGTGCAGCATGTGGAGTGACGTCATCCGCTCATGATTATTAATGAGGGGGGGCCTCATGTGGAGTGACGTTACGCGCGGGACACACGGACATTCTTGGCTCATTAGAGTAGTAAATCACGAACCTGAAATAACGATGGCAGCAGCAACCCTGCAATTTCCACATTCCCAAGCGAAAGAGCTCGAAGATTAAAAAAAAAATTAAAGTAACAATAAACTAATGAGATAATGCACGTGAATTTCAGGTTCGCTGTGTAATTGTGCCAAGGTATTTTGAGAGGGGCAATTGCGGCGCAGCTGCGTTCTATCCCCCCCCCCCCGCCCCCCCCCCCCCCCCCCCCCCCCCCCCCCCCGTCACCCACTCACTCGCCTCCCGGTCGCAGCCAGCAACATACTCAACGCGGGAACCCACAAATCCGTTCCGACAAGAGCTCTGAGCCGCGCAACCCGAGTTTGATTCCCAGGCGTAGGCCAACAGCAGCGGTGAAAGATGTCTAAACCGGTCCCCTGAGCCTCCACCAGCATGGTGATATGTATGGTCAAACTACTCTTATGACCGACGTGACATTGAGAGGTCTTTAAAAAAGGAATTGTCAATTTGTCCAGGTTTTATCGCCAATATGTCCCTGGTGTTGTGCCATGAGATTAATCACGATCTCTCTCGAACATAGTGCGGGTGGGGGGGGGGGCGGGGGGGAGAAACCAGATCATTGGAGATCGACTTGCGAGGCGAAGAACCGGAGGTGGCGGCGCAGAACAGCGGCGCGTCGGGAACAAGGCGGGCGGACGGACGCGAGGCCGCTCACCTGCAGGCCCTCGATGGCCAGCCGGAGCATGCCGGGCGTGAGCTTGGAGGCCTGCTTGAAGGAGAAGTTGCTCCAGTCGATGATGAGCACGAAGCCGTTCACCTGCAACTCGGGCTCCTCGATCATGGTCTCCAGGGAGAGCAGGATGGCGCGAAGGATGTCCACGAAGGTGTACCTGCGGGAGCGGAGGAAGCATCGGCGTCGGCACGCGTCACGCACTACGGCGCCGGCCGTCCATCACACGCCCTCCCGGTCGCTCCACTGCCGGGCGAGGTTCATCCGTATGCCTGTGCGGACACGTGGAGGTTATTTGGAGGTAGTTCACCATGCTGGGCGCCGCTGGTTGGTGAACCAGGGCCGGCATAGAGGTGCAGTACAACAACGATGGATTCCGCTACGCTGCCGTCCACGTAGCCCACGCAGCGGCCTGTAGCAACCTGACGTACGCGGTGATGACACACACACAAGCACGGGCCAGGCTCTGACGGGACGGGGCACATTCCACTACGTAACACGAGTTTTGTTCCTGGGTAGTAAGCGTTGATTTCCAATTGCTTATGCCTCAAAGGTATAGAAAATGGCTATTATTCCCCCACAAACTTTGCTTTTGTGACCAGGACTTTACGTGAACGAAAGACACACATACACACGTTTTCTCATTGAAAATAGGTACATTTCAAAATATCACTGTCCTGGTCACAAAAGCAAAGTTTGTGGGGAATAATAGCCATTTTCTATACTTTTGAGGCATAACCAATTAGGAAGTAACACTTACTACCCAGGAACAAAAAATATCTATTTTTTTGTTACACAGTAAATTCTGCACCGAGCCGATGAACCCCACTGAGCAGATGAACCCCACCGATCAGATGAACCCCACCGTGCAGATGAATCCCACCGTGCAGATGAACCCAACTGAGCCGATGAATCCAACTGAGCCGATGAACCCCACCGTGCAGATGAACCCCACTGAGCAGATGAACCCCACTGAGCAGATGAACCCCACCGAGCAGATGAACCCAACTGAGCAGATGAACCCCACCGATCAGATGAACTCCACTGAGCAGATGAACCCCACCGATCAGATGAACCCCACCGATCAGATGAACCCCACTGAGCAGATGAACCCCACCGAGAAGATGAACCCAACTGAGCAGATGAACCCCACCGATCAGATGAACCCCACTGAGCAGATGAACCCCACCGAGCAGATGAACCCCACCGCCCGCTGCGCCTTTGACAATCAACGCCGGTTAACGGCGGCGGCACCACCACCACCACGTAGGGCGCACACTGAACACCGTTCCACACGTCAACAAGACAAAACCTCCGCCACCACCCAGACCGCCGGGGATTCTCAAGCGACGCCACTTTGCCCCGTCTCCTCCCCCCCCCCCCCCCCCCCCCCCCCCCCCCGTGTTTACCGTGCACCTGTAAGTTGTTAGGCGCGGAGAGACGCGCCCTGTGGCGAGTCCAGTGATTATTGCCGTTTGGGGAGAACTGCCCTCAACCGTTACTGCCCTCAACCGTTACTGCCCTCAACCGTTACTCAACTCAACCGTTACTGCCCTCAACCGTTACTGCCCTCAACCGTTACTCAACTCAACCGTTACTCAACTCAACCGTTACTGCCCTCAACCGTTACTGCCCTCAACCGTTACTGCCCTCAACCGTTACTACCCTCAACCGTTACTCAACTCAACCGTTACTGCCCTCAACCGTTACTCAACTCAACCGTTACTGCCCTCAATTGTTACTGCCCTCAACCGCTACTGCCCTCAACCGTTACTGCCCTCAACCGTTACTCAACTCAACCGTTACTCAACTCAACCGTTACTCAACTCAACCGTTACTGCCCTCAACCGTTACTCAACTCAACAGTTACTGCCCTCAACCGCTACCACCCTCAACCGTTACTGCCCTCAACCGTTACTGCCATATATCCTCAATAGGACCGGGTCCCCTTTATCCGTGGCGCAAGAGTGGAGGCCAACGATAATTCTGCCTCGTAATGAGAATATTCAGAATATTGTATTTACACTGCAGGAGGAATCCGATGAGCTATAAAGCTCTTGTGTCACATACGTCTGGGCGGGGCACGGGGTAAGAACGTTACAACAACAAACAGCACAAAAAAACAACAGGATATGAGTGCAAAGTGCAAGAAAGTCAACACAAATGACTCAGAATACATACACAAATATAACTAAACCATCCCCATCCCGCAGGGCAAAGACCCCCGAGGCATTAACTTATTTTCCAGAAGTTACCTGGCCACAAACGACGTTCGCCCTTCTCCGAGTTGGGACACAGAAGCCCATCACACAATTCGTCTGCAAAATTATTAAATGGCGATTGGTAATATCCAGCAGAGTCTCGTTGAACCTCAAGCCTCCCTCTTCACGAGGGGTCCAGCTGCGTTGGCGACGTTTTGGCCAAGTCCATTGACGGGAAATTGGCGTTGTGTTGGGGCTAAACCGGAGGAACCCCGGAGGAAACCCCCACATTCAAGGCGGAAACACCCACAGTCTCGCACAGATCCATCTATCGCCAGCAAATCCGGTACCTAGATCTGTTAATCGCTTGCCGAGTACAAATGTTCACTCTAGGCTCTCACCCGGTGATAAGCCAAGCTCTATGCATAATTGAGGAGGGTTGGTGCAGTGGTTAGCACCCTGCACCCCAAGACCTGAGCTTGATTTCTGGATATTGGCTAACATCAGTGACGAGTGATATCAGAACCAAACCTGGCCATCACCCACCTTCAGCAACCCACACTGAGCAGCGTGGTGAAGTATGGTCAAACAACTGCCATGACCAACATAGTGTGGGGGTGGTCTTCATCCAGCAGTGGGTGGACAAGGAACTGTACATGCCACACATGTTGTACAATAACGATCACACGTGTAGTTTGTTGGATCACACACAGATGGGAGACGTCTGTTTGTACATCACCCACCTCCGTAAGTAATCATAGACCCCGTGAGCTGACAACATCATCGCGCTCCCCCTCGCATCCACCATGACGCACACCGCACAGATTACTCAAAAATCTGACCACGGTCATCCTCATTCAGGCCCCTCCTGAATTATAGATTAAAATAAAAGAGACGTGCCGGGACATTAAAGTTCTGGAGACTCAGTGAGGCTGTAAACGAAACATAATCACCATCAACAGCAGCAGCAGCAGCAGCAACAACAACAACAGCAACATCACGACCACCTCCACTCGCTGTCACCTGATCTGGTCCCAGTTGGAGGCGAAAATGACCAAGATCTTCCTGCCGTAGTGATCGGAGTGCGAGAGCACGCCTGGGAAGCCGTTTCGCAGAGCCTGCCGGATACCCTGGTCGGTGGCCTTGAAGTTCTTGAACATGTCCAGGTGCTGCTGCCGGTACTCGAAGTACTGGGCGAGCAGTTTGAAGGCCTCGAAGTGGTGAAACTTCCGAGCGCGAAGGAAGCGCAGCACAAAGGCGTCGTCCGTGCGGAGGAAGCCGATGTCCGGCCGGGTCACGATCATGTCCCTGACCTCCTGGATGTCCTGCTGGATGGCGTCCGGCCTCTCGCATAGCTCCACGCGAGCCTTCTCCAGCGTGTCCGCGCGAAGTCCGGACTGCAGCGTGTGGGTCATCATGATGGAGGCGAGGAGCTGGCGAGCGCTGATGAAGATGATGATGATGGTGGTGGTGGTGGTGTCCAACGGTCGTGATATAGATATTGGCGCAGTAGATGGTAATAATTACGACGATTCAATGGATGATATGATGATGGCGATTATACGGACCCAGTAGATTCCATGCTGATGATATGAAGTTAACACTGATGGCGAGGATCTGGACTAATCTAAGATGATATTATTATGACGATGAAGATTAAGATGATGATGATGATATAGACATAATATATGATAATATGGCGATCGTGATAAAAAGCAGATGGATGATGATTTTTATATCAGAAACGATATGGACGTGATGGCAGTGACATTGAATAAAGATGCTGATGACGCTGCTGATGACGATATTAACCATGCGATAAATTACCGAGGGTGACGATACGTGCCGAGATAAGGATGGCGATGATGATGATGATGATAGACCGCAGAGAGTGCGCCCAAATGGGAGCGTGCAGCTAATAAAACGAACGCTGGAATTGCACAGATCGGGCTGACGAAATCCATTTGACGGAATCAACACGACCATATGCTCGTCACACCAGCATTACCACGAATCAGTGGTCACTCCATCAACTCGTCCAGTCTCAGACGAATCAAATCATGCCCTCGGACCAAACTGCTGCCGGGCAACACAGCACCGAGGACGGCTGCTGCCTGGCGAGGCGACACGGCCACAGACCTGCTGCTGCTCTACCCGCCTCGATCATCATCATCAGCAACAGCATCGTCATTCCCAAGCGTTCACAGCGAACAGCATCAGCAGCAGCATCATCAGCAGCAGCATCCTCCTCCCACGCTTGCCATTCCTTGCATGGCCGAGTCGCGTTCCTCCCGTAGCCGATGCGCTGGGCCCGCAAGCAGCAGAGATGATGGTCCGCGATGGTGCTGCTGGGAACAAGCTGTCTGTGTCTGGCTGTTCGCCTCCTCCTGCGGCTGCTGCTGCTGATAATGGATCGCTCCTCGCACCGCAGCATCCGGCACCAGCAGCAGGGTCTGTGGTGTGTGTGGGGGGGGTAACGCGTCACGCAGCAGTCGCGCAATCCGTGGGCGGGGCTGGCTCACCGACTCATTCATTCACTCATTCACCGTATGAATCATTTACCGAGTCATTCATTCACGCATTCGCCGAATCATTCCTTCACCGAGTCATTCGTCCACTCATTCGCCGAGACATTCATTCACTCATTCACCGTGTCAATCATTCCCCGAGTCAATCCTTCACCAAATCACAATTCACTCATTCACCAAGTCAATCATTAACCGACTCAGTAGCTGATTGGGTACTGTAATATTTTCATGCATTCACGCAGTGGCCAAATTTCTCTTCCTGCATATCATTGTCTAAACTCGTTCACTCGTGCTATTCATCAGCTGATGCATTACAGTACAAAAATTATTTACGCAGTCAATTTAGCTGATCTCACCCATAATTTTCAATCATTGGCTGATTCTATAATTGTTTAATTCATGTACGGCATTGTCCACCGATTGATCTCGTTAAATTCACACTCTCAATTACTCATCCAATTGTTATTCACTAAATTGGTCATTTATTAACGCAGCAAAACGTTTGAAATTCACTCATTCATACATGAAATTTGTAAATTTATTAATTTGTTCATTTAATCACTCATTATATTATTCAATCATTCATTTGCATTCGAAAATTAATTTATGCAGTGATCTGTTTACTTGCTAAATCATTAATGAATAACATATTCACTCATATTAACTCATATTCTTTGGGTCTTTCGGTAAAGCCACGTAGATAGAAAAATAAAAATAAAAATTTAACTATTCGTTGAGCGTATTTCGAGTAGTGGTTTATTGCGTTATCTTTTTTAAAAATCTAATAGTTGTTTTCATTCATTATTTAATTCACTCATCCATTCGCTCACCATTATATTCATTCGCGCATTTATTCACGAATTAGCGTGGTCGTTCATGTATGCGTTCATTTGCATGAATTACGCTGCCCAATTTATTCAAACAATTCATTGAGCTGACAATGCGACCTTTATTGCACTTAATTTTTATTAAACATGATATTGGAATTATTAATTGTCAGATAAATGGTCATTTACTCAAATATAACACATCGCTGCGTTTGACACAAACCCCCGTTGTCATCGTGATGATGATTATTTGTATTCATACGGAGCGATTTGCATGTAAGGAGGGCCCGACGGTAAAGCAGGGGCCCGGCTGGTATCTCGAGCATCTCCTGGCACTGTGCGGCATGTGAAGTGGGCGTCATAGGCGGTACGTTTATCAGTACCGCAAGGGTTGTTGGCTGGTAAAGGTCACACGAGGCGATATGAGACACGTTTGCCGGGAAATAACGCAATAAGCGTGGAATGTATTTTGTGCACACCAGAACACATTTATGCCACCAGAACTTTGCACGCATCAAAAGCATAATCCCAAAGGGGTACAACAAATATAGGATATGTTATGTATGGCTATGTTAACTATAAGTGTATATTATATAAGTTGGACATCCGTGGCACGTGCGATGTTGTGTTATCCTTTATAACGCTTTACAATAAAACGAGCCACGAGTGAACGTATACAGTACGTGTATTCATCATCATCATCATGATGGTGATGCGCTTCACCCAAAAAAAATATTGAGTCTCAATAACATATTTGTTTTAAAATATCGACTCAATATTTCAAAAAAATATTGGCCTAATATTTTGAGGATGGTCCAGCTACACTGGGATGTGTGACCAAACTACATTCATGATGCGCGTTTTGGCTTCATGCGGGAGTGAAACGGAGCACTCTATCGGCCGACTCATAAGCCTCACACACTGCAACAACCACAATACTGGTTTATAAAGTGTTGGTAGTTTTGCGTTTGTCCACATTACATAATTTAAAAAAAACCCAAAGTGTATCTTGCTTACACTAACAGGACCACGCTGCTTTTGATGGAGCGATGGATTCGCCGCTCGTGTGTGGAACTACTATTACGACGTGGATTATTATCAACATTGTTATAAACCGCACGATTGTAGGAGATGGCGGCGGCTTGGGAGATGAGGCGCTCATCCAGCAGTGGATTGACCATGAGCGATGATAATGCAGTTTGAAGTTAATTTTGTTTAACCAGGAGAGGAACTTGAAACACTTTGTATAGCCTCATCTGCAAGCGTGACCTGGGCCACCACGAATGACCCTGGGTCACCAAAACGACAGCGTTAATCAATCAAAATAAATGAAAACGTCAACGAAGCACATTGTCTGATGGCTCTTGTTGGTGGCGTGAGAGAGCGAGAGAGATGAAGGCCCCACACTGTACCGCGTGGCTGTCCTCGTGGCTTTAACCAATGTGGCTGCCCACAGAGCGCGGCACCCAACAGCCGCGGTTTCCATATCAGGGCCATCAGTGGCGCCCGCCAGCAAGCCAGGCTGCTGCTGCTGCAATCATCGGCCTCTTAGCAAGCGATTGAGGCCGCCGTCATCATTGGCCATGGTTAATCCACTGCTGGATGAAGGCCTCCCCAAGCCGTCCTGTTGTCGGAGTGAATCCACGAGGGCAAGCTCATCAATGGGCGCCGCGGTGGCTAGGAGATGTTAACTACCTCGCCTGGTATACAGGAGGTCATGGATTCGATCCCGACCCTGACGCCTGCTGCTGCTGTATATTTGGAGTTTGTCAATGCAAGTCGCTCGCTACCCGCGCCTGGGCGCAAGTCGCTCGCAACCCCAACCCGATCCCCACGGCAGCCACAGGGCTCTTGCCGGCGTCACACAACACTTCATGGTGATATGTTCACTCCCTGACGCCTGCTGCTGCTGTATATTTGGAGTTTGCATGTCTTTCTCTCCCCGTGGTCGCGTTGATTTTTCTCCGGGTCCTCCAGTTTTTCCCTCCAAATTTAGAAACGTGCGCTTAGAATATTTGGCTGCTGTAAATTTCCACGTGATGATGATACGCTACTTCGTTGAGATATCATTTGTGGCCAGGTGGCTTCTGAAAAAGAGCCATCTAGCTCGGTGGGCCTTACCTGATAAAATTTATTTTACATGTCCCCCAAATTATTTAATTGCCCTGTCCAAGTTTGTAACTCGTCTCCTCCCTCCCGCGTGTTTGGTATCTGCTGTCTCGAGAATCGTCGGCGCTCTTAGTTGCTGGCTCCTTTGCGTTATGGGCCTTCAGCGATGTGATCAGCAACTGATAGTTAAATGAAAACCACAACATTTCAGGTTGTTCTTGAATATGCGTCCCACCACGGAACTGCTGTTATCATCACTTCATTGGCTGTGTGTCCATTCGTGGTCCCCCGCCTAGAAAGGTGTGTAACACAGGCGCACTTACTTGTGTTTGTTTAAAGTGATTGAGATTCATACAAAGGTGTCCGTGTGCTGCAGACGAATGGATTTACCTTCGTGCTTATTTTTACCTACTCTGTATAATACACGAATGCCCAATGCATTGGCCACTCCTACACGTCCCCATTCTATATTTGGTGCTCGGGTTAGTATTTTGGTTTGAGTATTTGATGTTTCTGAGCCTCTTGTCATAGCTGGCAGCATGAACTGATCAAAGACTTTTACATATTCGGTGCGCATTACAGGAATTAGATTTCCCCCCCCCAAAAAATCTCCAAATTCTACTTCAAGGCAACGAATGTTGTGTGCACTTCGTAAAATTCCGAGGGCTCTATATGTTTAATACCACACGGAATAGAGCACGCGCGCCTCGTCTGCTTTACTTCGCGGGGTGCATTTGCTCGGTAAAGATCGTTCGTGATGGGCGTTGCGGTATTTAACATCGGCTTTAAATATATATGAAGGGGCACTTAAATCATCAAGATCCGCTCCACTCTGCCGCAATGTATATTTGGTCACCAGGGGGAGACACTTGCACATTATGTGGCGAGATTCTTTCAGCGTGTCTTTGTACTGGTGTAGTACATGCTGCACTGGCAAGATATTATTTTGATTTAAAAAAACTGATGGAGAGAGCCTAATAGTGACTTAAGGTGTCTCGATCTCTGAACAACATGGTAAACATTGATGATATAAACTGGCTCAGAGGCCACAGTAATGAGCCACCACTGCTGAGGTCATGGGTTTGAATCTGGGCAGCTACCTCTTGCTTAAGCCGGGTTCTCGAGGGTAATGAGCCCATTAACTACACACCAATGCGTCGTGTTAAATGTTGGCTTTATACTTAAATTAGATAAATTACAGCTCTCAATGTTAACTATTGGTTTGACTGTCGACAATGCCTTAGAGCAAAATAAATAACAGTGTGTAACACATTTTTTTTGTTCCTGGGTAGGAAGTGTTATTTCATAATTGGTTATTCCTCAAAAGTACAGAAAATGGCTATTATTCCCCACAAACTTTTCTTTTGTGACCAGGACAGTGATATTTTGAAATTCACCTATTTTCCAGAACATTCCAGAGAGATTCAGTGCCGAGTAAACTTGGAGTAACTTCTAGAACATTCTAGAACTTTCCAGTGATATAAATAGTAGTATAAATACAGGGGCCTTAAGCCCACCAGTTCATTTTAGTTCCAGCTGCCTAAGTGGATGCATATCTGCATTTTTCTGAGGTGGCATCAAGAGGCTGCAATCATCCGGCAGACGCATTTTGCTATGTCTGCGGCCAATTTATCAAGACAAGAGCAAAACAGTACTCTGTGGAAGCATCTGCTAAGATGTGTGAGGCCTACTTTGAACGCCGCTACCAAGGACAGTATAACGAGAACATGATGGGAGACTACATTTGGGGGCTGATTCGTGAAAGTGATTTACAGTATAATCGTAAATCTCGAAAAACTACTCACTTCTAAATCTTTTGTAGTAATTTTGTTTATCACTTTAGTATAAAAACATGTAAATTTAGATTAATGTGTTGTTTTCTGACTTTATGTGACGAAAAAACACAAATTCGCCCGTTTTCTCATTGAAAATAGGTACATTTCAAAACATCACTATCCTGGTCACAAAAGCAAAGTTCGTAGGGAATGATAGCCATTTTCTATACCTTTTAGGCATAAGCAATTAGGAAATAACAATTACTACCCAGCAACAAAAATTGTGTCACATAGTGTAATCGGACAATACACCTCCTTTCCTTATCTCTCTCCACGTGAGTTTTTTTTTCCATTAATGCCACTAAAATAAAAGCACTCCCAGAAGGCCACGTGGCCGCCGGGTTGTGTCGATGTTTTTTTTCATCTGCAGATACACGGAATGGTGGCGTTTTGTCGAATTATTTACTTTGCTCTAAGGCATTGTCGCATGACCGTCGAACCAGAGAGAGCCTAATAGTGACTTCAGGCGTCTCGATCTCTGTCAGGCGATGCCGCGTGACATTCAACCCAGCATTTAAGCGCAAATTAATTTCATTATTAAAATTTCATGGGAAGTATAAATTAGAGGTAGTTTCAGGACAACCGCCAAAATGTAACATGATGCTTTTTTTATTGTTGCGGAGTGTTATCTTGAACTCTGATAAGCCCGTGTCGCCAGCCCATCTCGTCTCGCCCCCCGCGACCGCGACGAGAGAACACGCGAGTTCAGGGAGCATTGGGGAGCGATTGACGTTAAGCTGAGTTGTGGCCTCGTCCCGTTGCGTATCGCGCGGCTTTTGTTGCGGCGACTGGAAGACTTCACAAAGCGAACTGGGTCACGTGACGGTCACACTTATTGTTTTTTTAAACAAGTTATCTTCCTAGGGGAGCGTTAGTGGTCTCCGCAAGCAGCGACCAGGAGACGTCGCATCA